ATGCTCTAAATTAGTGCATTTTTCTTCCCTTTTATGTGTAGGTGATGCTGGACTCAGATCAGCCTCTTCTGCATGTGGTTTCTCAGAGTAACCTGAGGGGCACAGCCGAGGGAGTGTATCACCAGGCCCCGGATGTCCTCCTGGATGCTGTGACTGTCAGGCAGCATGTCCATGAAGAGCCGTTTTACTGGCGGCTGCCAGGGCAGTTCCGGGGGAACCAGGTGAGGACATGCGCAGCCTCGAGCCGTCGAGTTTCCTGGGGGGACACGGGTGTCTTCTGAACTCATTACTTCAAATAAATCTTGGAAATAATCATTTCAAATACAGTTTTAAAACACAAAAAAATCCAGTGTTCAAGTATATAGGATAACCGTTAACTCAACCTGGGTTGACCTGCCCTTAACTGGAGGGTATTTTCATTTCCTCTTCTATGATACAGAGGTTTAACACTTCTTAAAATCCTCCCAAATGGTTCTTTAAACTTTTTTTTTTAAAGATTTTTTTTTATGCATATAGAACTGGGATGCAGGCCAGAGGTGCAGAGGTGGTGAGAGGCTTCATCAGAGACAGAGTGGGGAGCAGAACAGGCTGACTGACGAAGTACATTGCTGAGGGGAGCAGTGGGTGGGCAGGAGAGGTCTGCGGCGCCATGTGGATCGAACTCATGCTAAAGTGGCTTTAGCTTCTCAGTGTTGTGCTTTAACCCGCTGTGCCACCAGGGAGGGCCCTCCTTAAACTTTTTAATTAACATTGAAAGTCTTAAAAAAAATAGATTTATTTATTTATGCGTACAGAACTGGGGTACAGGCCAGAGGTGCAGAGACAGTGAGAGCATTTACCAGAGACAGAGCGGGGAGCAGAATAGGCTAACCAACAAAGTACACTGCTGAGGGGAGCAGTGGGCAAGACATGAAAGGTCTGCCATGCCATGTGAGTCACCTTCAGGGCGGGGATCGAACTCACACTAAAGTGGCTGCAGCTAGCTTGCAGTGCTGCACTCTAACCCACTGAGCCATCAGAGAGGGCCAACATTGAAAGTTTTTTGGGATTCAAATCATTTTATTGTTCTTTCTTGAAGCAATCATCCAACAAACTTTTAATGTTTTTTATTAACTTAGGAACAAAGTTAATATGGTCTGGGAAGTAATTCCCAAGAAATCATCAGTCAGTTCGGGTAGGAAGATAAGATCCTATCATAAAAGAGTTTTGAAAGCATTGCTTGCATTTTTTGTTTATATAAACTCAGAATCTGAATTCAGCTGATCATTAAAATTTGCAAATATCCATCTAGTGCTCATGAATAGATGATCATTTTTAATTCAAAGGAGCTTCAAAGTAATTAGAATCACTAGATGCACTACCTCATTGATGTACTACTTCGAAGCTCACCTTTGTTGGTATCATTAGATGGAAACATTGGGATTAATGGATCTGTCTGTGGCTTTGATGGCAGTGGTGAATTTTCAGCTAGGTGCTTACTCCCAAGCTCACTGAATTGTAGACAGTAACTATGCACACTTTGTACAGCCAGTCACACCACAGTAAAACTTTTTTAAGAAACATTTTAAAAATCTAAAAAAAAAAACCAACTATAGTGTCTGGGTCAACTTAAAAGTCTGTAACTGAGAATTAGAAAGAATCAAATTGTTGCAGACAACATATTCCATTCATGTGATATATATTTTTTAAAGATTGATTTATTTATGCATATAGAACTGGGGTACAGACCAGAGGTGCAGGGGCAGAGAGAGGATTCACCAGAGCCAGAGTGAGGAGCAGAACAGGCTGATGATGAAGTATACTGCTGAGGGGAGCAGTGGGAAGGTCAGGAGAGGTCTGCTGTGCCATGTGGGTCACCTCTGGGGTTGGGATGGAACTCGGCTAGCTTGTAGTGCTGCATCCTAACCTGTTGCACCACCAGAGAGGGCTCTCATGTGATATATTTTAAAGATAGGTTTCTTTTAATGGCTGCAGGGTTGTAGTAAAATACTTTTAAACAGTGCGGTATTGGAGAAGTAACCACAGCTTACTCTTCCATAGCTCACGGCCTACGGTGGCACACTAAGGTACAGTGTGGCTTTTTACTCTTCCAACGGCATCGGCACCTTCAACCTTGAGCCACAAGTGCTCATCAGAGGCGGCCGGACCCGAAAGCAAGTGATTTATATGGACATGCCCCCTCCAGAGAACGGAGTGTGGCAAGAGCAAGAAGTCGGGATGAAAGAGGTGAAGATGTGCTCTTCTCATCGAAGCCCTTTGAATGCACACATTTTGCTATCACTGTAGAGATGTTGAGCCAGTAAAAGAATGAGCCAGAAACTCTTGGCTCAAAATTCCAGTGAGTTTAGCAAGCTGTCTAAAAAATAGGGCAGATTTCAAGTTCTTAAGATATGGTTATTAATGTTAAGCTAATTTTTTTAGTGGAGATTGCATCTTAAAGCCTTCATTTTTTGGTAAAATAGCCTGAAGTCTTTGGGCGCTTGACTATGGAATTGTATGGCCCATCCACCCACATGTGCAGGCAGACCTGTGTGGCCAGCACTGTCATGGGTGATGAGTGTCTGTTGATGGATGAGGCCAGCACTTGTCCTTCTGCTGGGAAGTCACAGGAGATTAAATACAGTGTCATTTCAACTTAGCATCAGGTGCAACTCTGAACTCACTTCTGGGGAAATTTACAAAAAGAAACAAATAATTAAATCAATCTAAAGCAATTACCTCTGAAAATTGTATTCTCCATTTAATGGAATGTATTTCTTATCCACAGAATTATTGGAAATATTTTAACTCTGTTTCTGAAGAACCTGTCACACGTTCTGATTTTATGTCCGTTCTTAGCAACATTGAGTACATTCTCATCAAAGCATCGTATGGCCAAGGATTACAACAAAGCAGGTATTTGGAACTTTCTAGAATTAAAAAAAAAAATTTCTCACTTGAAACTGAATTGAAAAGATTTGGTTCATTTCACCCCCATTACCTCCTGTTCCTTACCAAAATATTATTAAACATTAATCATGAAATGTGTGAAAAATGATAGACTATCCATTTTCCATATGTGGATATAAAATATAATGGTGATATGTTAGTTGAAGGTAAGATTTAAAAAACAAAAAAACAGATAAATTCTCCAATTTCTGCCCTTAAAATGGTGCCCATTTGTCTATAGATAGATATCAGGATAGCTATCAGTTCTTTTCTTATTAAACTAAAAACCACTAAGTTCTGGCCAAACTAGTACTTTCAGAAGTCTGTCAGATACAACTTCTGTAACGTTGTTTTTAAGTTCTAAAGTTGACCAAGCACCTTGGCCATGTAACGCTCAGATGCATTTCCTTCATTGACATGAGTAGGAAAAGCGACTCCCAAATGGCAGAAAGTTCTGGTTTGATTTAGGCGCAAGTATCATTATGTAATGTGCTATGTTTCTAGAAAGTGTCATTGTAAATATTAGTGTTTTCTCATGCTTTTTAACACCATACTTTCGCAGAATCACCAATGTCTCAATGGAGGTTGGCAGAAAGGCAGAAACACTGTATCCTGGGAGCGAGGCAGCATCCCTCATAGAGAAGTGTCTCTGTCCTCCTGGCACTGCTGGACTTTCCTGTCAGGTAGGGACCAGGGGTCAAAGTTCACATCTTGTTTTGCTCTTGAGTTGAAATATGTTTATTACTGCCCCTTCCAAGTGATAAACATAATTTGTGTTATGATTGTGTGTATTGCGTGCACTGATTCTATCATTCATCCCTTTAAAAACTTTTAATTGGGAAAACATGCAAAAACACAAACTTCACTGTCCTGACCATTTTTAAGTGTCCAGTTCAGTAATGTTAAGCACATTCACATTATTATACAACTCTATCTTCTTCATACCAGTTTTCTACTCTCTGTCTCTATGGATTTGAACACTCCAGGTAAGTCATAAATGCAATCCAGGTGTATCTCTTGATGCCTGATTTATTTCAATAGTATGCTGTCTTCTTCATGGTTCATCTATATTGTAGCATATCAGAGAACTTATTTCCTTTTTGAGGCTGAATACTTTCCACTATATGTATAAGCTATGTTTTATTTATACTTTCATCTGTTAGTTGATATCTGGGTTGTTTCCACTTTTGTTCATTATGAAATATTGTGCTTTAAACATGTTGTACAATCTCTCTCCACGACCCTGATTTCAGTTCTTGGAGTTTTATACCCAGCAATAAAATTGCTGGGCCACATGGATATTCTGTTTTTAACTCCTTGAGGGGCTGCCATACTCTCTGGGCAGTGTTACAGACTTCCTATTAACAGTCGACAAGAGTTCCAGTTTTTCTGTATTCTCATTAGAATGGTTATTTTCTGGGCTCTTCCGCTCTATTTTTTTTTTTTTAAGTTTTTCTATGTTGTGGATATATAAAAAAATAATGTGTTTGCAATTTCATGAATGCTAGAAACCATCACCATCAGGGAAAGCTACAAAAAAAAAATTATTTTTGAAACACAACTCCCTTGATTTTCTTTCCTTTTTTTAAAAGTTAAACATATTTTCTTATATCACTGTTGGCTTTCGTGCAGTATCTGATCTCTCCCCTCAGATGCAGTCCCTGTAGTCCTCCGACCATTGCAGCACCCGTGAAACACCACCACAGTCCCTAGTACACTTCCTGCCCCTGTTTCGACCCCTCCCCATCCTGGCTCTATGCCTCAGATGTCTGGCCAGCTTGTTTTGTTTCCACAGTAGCCATCCTCATGGGTGTGGGGCGTTATTTCCTGATTGTTACTTAACATTTCCCCAGTGATTTGTAATATTGAGCCTCTTTTCATGAGCTTGTGAACCATTTGTTTATCTCCTTTGGAGAAATATTGAAATCCCTTGTCCAGTTTTTAATCAGGTTGTTTTTTTTTTTTTTTTTTCCTTTCCTCCCATTTGCATCACTACAGGACTGTGCACCTGGTTACCATAGAGGGAAGCTTCTAGAAAGTGGTGGCAAAGGACCCCACCCTCTGCTTGCTCCTTGTGTGCCCTGCAATTGTAACAACCACAGTGACACCTGTGACCCCGAAACTGGGACGTGTCTGGTATGTTTATGAATGTGAAGTTTAGGATGAATGTAAGCACTGAGTTTAAGTCTCTAGAGCAAAGTCATACTGGTTACTTGGTTTAGAAAGAGGCTACATTTATCCAATTGTAAGATAGTCATCAGTTTCCTTCAGAAAGGCCAAGCTCAGTGGAATGATATGGATAGTACAAATTCTTACATAAATTTTACTTCCTTGGATTTCTTTGTGGACAGCAATTTGGGAATTAGTTACGTATGCCTTGTTTTTACTTCCATGGGATCCTGGTGGCTGAGTTCATAGACGAGAACTTTTTATTGTAGAATTTGAAGAGTCATCTGGATGTTTTTAAATAAGTTAACATCAGTGTTGAAAATGGATATTTCTGTGTCAAGTATTCTTCTCTCTTCATTTAAAAAAATGTATTGTTTCCTGGATAGCTTAGTAAACATTTATTGCTGATCCCCCTCCCCCTAATCCAAGGTTGGTGTCGGGGAAACATGAGACAACTCTGACTGAAAAGGACCAAGTGACCTGAACAGAGGTCTAGTGACCCTGAGTAAGGACAGTCCATGATCATGCCTTCTTGCTAACAGAGAATAATCCAATATTTTTCCCTAGTCTTAAAATCTAATTCTTTATATTAACTCATATGGAAACATGGTCACTTGTATAAATTGCTCCATGACTAACTTGCTTCATGTGAGATAATTCATTAAAGGGTGCTGAGCTGGCCGCTGAGAAAGATACCCCTGAAGGTGTAGGGAGTCAGAGTATGGCCTGATAACATGGAATCAGCTGAGGAATTAGAACAGTGGGCTCCTCACTGGCTTCTAGCTAACCTAAATGTGTCATCTTCTTTTCTACTCAGAAGTGTCTTTCCATTATGGAATTTAAAGGTAATTTCCACTGGGAGAGCTACTAAATTAAAGCAGTGCATAGGTGAATGTAGAATCTGAACCATTGCATGGTTTTCCTCAATTAAAAAGATATGTGTTAACCTTTGCTGACTCCATTATATATGTGAAATTAAAGAATTATTCCAGTCCTACAAGGTAAAATGAGCTTAATGAAGATGCAAATAGCTGCAACACTATTAAAACATTTTTATTCTCTCTAATCAACTCATGCTCCAGGCAAAAGCAAAGTCCTAATGGAGAAAATGAGAAAATCTCATTTAAGGATTTAAAGAGAATTGATATCAGGCAACTTTAAGGGAGATGTAATTAGCAGAGAAGTTCCCTTGGACAATCATGGGGACAGAGGTCACCTGGAGAGTTAACGCTGTCGATCAGTTCTTTCATGCTGCACTCCTCTTCCCCTGATGCAGCTAACTATTTTAACAAGATTAGGTACTCTTAGGACATTAAGTTATTACCTGCCTTTCCTGGCCCAAATCCAGCAGAGGATATTTCCAAGATTAGTTGCGGACCTGTTGATTTGTAACTGGAAAATAACACAACCTACTTAGCTCAATCCATAAAAAATTTTGGGGAAGAGGCTCCTTGGGATAAACAATGATGACAACTTTCCGACAGGGCCCTGCTCCCGGGGCCCTGCCAGACGTTACCTGGAACTAATGGAAGATCTCTGGGTTTGTTAATTCGCTATGGCTGTATACAACAATGGCTGTACATACTACCAGAAGACTGGACAAAGATCCTGAATCTAGATTGTTCTGCAATTTCACGGTGTTGAACAAAGCATATTTTGCTTCACGTTCTTTTCCCTTTTCAAAGATCTGTGTTTGGTGTTTATCCCTAGTGACTTCATTCAGAGTTATTGTTAATTGACTACTTCTATAACTGAAACATTTTTCAACAGAAAATAGTGTTTGGAATCAGAATTTGGCATTTTAGGGTTGCAAGAGACCTTCAATTCTTGTCAGCATCCCTTCTGATCCTAAGTGATTACAATGGTCACACCATGTGGCTATCAAGGTACATTTACTCACCTCCAGAAATCTGGAGCTCACTCCCACAACAGCTTGGCTCTGTTTTCAGCATCCCTGGTTTCTCCTGGAATAGGTGGTCCTGACTCATGCATCTGTTAGAATAGCTTTAATCTTTGGTGCTACTGAGACAAACACTACTTCAAATTTGTTCACTAAAAACCGCCATTTCTAAACAAATAATGTATAAGACTATTTGCTAAAATGCCTTTCACATACCCAAAAGTCTTGGATCTTCAACCTCCTGGTCAAATATATGCAACTTACGTACTTGGTGGTCATCAGAGGTGGCTGTGGTGCTTCAGCAGCTTGAGATGTGACTGTCACCACTTGCCCAGAGCCCAATGCCTTTACTCAGGGCATGGAGTGTTCTTCTCTTACTCTATGTGCCCATGACTTCAGAATTTACACACGGTTTTCATTGCATAATGCATTGTGTCAATGCTGTTACAGATGTTTCTATCAAGTTAACCAGACACAGCACTTATATTCTTTCCATCTTCAAGTTGGGCACCTGAGTCCTTGCTCTTTAAAATTGGGACCTTATCGTTTCTCTTCAGTCTTCATCTGTTGGCTCCCTTTTGGGGTTTAGTACAATTTCCCATTCCATTGACAAATCTCTTCAGCACTCCCTGTGGACACGTGACCTATAAGTGGGCATCAAGTTTTCTGAATCTGATTTGTCATCCAGTAGGTTGGATGATCCTCTATCTTCATGGCACTGGGATTTGGGTATCATCATGAAGTGCTTGATTGGTAATGTGACCTGGAGGCTGTTTTGGAGACTGAGGACTAGAGAAATGTCCTGACTCTGCTTGCTGCCTGCCTCCTTCCTGGAGCTATGACTTAATCTTGGAAATTTACTTAAAAACCCTTCATGCACTGAAAAATTGTAAGGTGTCTTCTGTGCTTCTGGCAATTGACTCATCCCGGTGTCATCATCAGCAGGTTCTTTGTTAAATTTCTGCCATATTATGGCGCACCCACCTTGCATTTCCTAAGTTCTTAAAGACCAGCGACCTCAAGATCTGTTGCATGTTAGGGGAGTCTTTAATGCTGAATTAGTGTTAGCAGCTGAAAATCAGAAATTCAGTTTCAATCCTCTTTTGTCATCTGATACCTATTTCTTAGCAGCTGTATGATTTATTATTAAAATAAGGACTAAGCACATTTATTTTTAAGAGAGAGGTTGTACTTCTAAAGAGGTATCTGTTGGGGGGCCACACAGATCTCAGTAAGATCTACTTTTATCAGTGGAAATAGAAATACATTTTTAAATTGAAAAACACTGGCATTTCTTCAAAGTAAAAGGAAGCCAATAATAGTTTTTCAGATGCA